AATATGAGTTCCCCGGAAGCTTACAACTGTTTCCAAGACGCAGCAGCATCAACGTTGTCTCTCTCTCCGGTTGACAGCAAACTGTTCCAGCCATCTCCGAGTGAGTTATTCTCAACAACAACTCTCTCTGACGCGCATTGTGGTGAAGGAGACAGTTTTTCCCTGTACTCTCCGCAAGTTACAGTTGTTTTTGCCTGTTGTACTTCCGGCTCGACAACTTTTTACCCCGACGCGCCTTTTTCGCCCGAACACGCTATGGGCATTGTGGAGATCCCGGGGCCTGGATCATAGTTCATCATCATATTGAAAGTTTATGCTAATTTTTTCTTCTGGTATATCAACGATTATTTCACAACCTATCCATGCTGGTTTCCCGTTAGTCATATTATTTCGGATGTAAAAATCCCTCATTTTAACTAACAGTAGCCTAAGATCGTGACTGGCTAACTTATCAGGAACGAACCAATCTTCATCTCCCTCTTGATCAAGATAATCATACTCATACTCACATGACTCACCATCTAGTGATAATTTAGCACGAGCAATGATCTTCATCGCATTAGCAGGACCGGCATCCACTAATAACTGACCTATTTTATTATGCAGATCATCTAATTCGTTCATTTTACCCCTCCAGGTGTGTTGCTGATGTCTTTGATAACAGGACGGCCTCCATCAATAGAGTATGTTACACTAAAGCTTTCAGGACGCTTATTCTCCCCAGTGTAAACAGGTTCTATTTTAACATTAACTTGTTTGCCATCTTTCAAAGCATTAGCCCATGTGTTTTCCATCTGTTTCCATGCACCTTTATTCAGGTTGCCATCCATAGGAACAAGATTGAGTTTTTCGCCAGGACCATTAAAAATACTGGCAATTAAATGACCACCTTCATCACCAGAGCTACCACATTTCCCGGCCTTGCATTGCTGATAAGTGTTTCTGTCGCTTTTCGAAGCAACTAGTATACCCTCAACTGAACTAGTTCTTTTCCCAATGCATCAGTCTGGTATGTTTTATTTCCATCGACCTTATAAACGGTATTCGGTTCCGGCTTATTCATTGCTTGATTCCAGGCCCCTTTCTTACCTGAATTAACCACAACGATGTTTTTAGTTACCGTTGAAGTACCTGATTTCCCCATCCCACCTGTCACTGCTCCCAATGCTGCGACGGCAAGGATTTCAGCCTGTTGCTTGTCTATACCGTAACGATTTTGTAGCTGACAGGCAAATTCAGTACTGGTAACAACACCTTCCGCTTCGATCTGCTGAGCTAACAACGAAGACATATCATTCTTCATTGCAGACGGTACATCTGCACCTAACACACGATCTATCGCTTCTCGTACAAGCATTCCTTTAGCTGGTATATCGCCGAATTTCTCTTTGCAGGCCGCAGGGTTTGTTGCGCAGACAGCTATCATTTCCTGCTGTTGCTTAAGGCTGAGCTCCTCCATCTCCTTTACAATCTGTTTGCAGTCGCCACGTACTTCACACCCTTTTGCTTTTGCCGCAAAGCTATCGATCTGATCCGCGGTCAAAAAGTTATTCTCAACAGTTGTCTTACCTGACTGTGCGCCGGCTACCGCTGAAGCCCCCGAGTCTCCCACCAGACCACCGGCCAGGCCGGCAGCAACCGTTGCCAGTGTCGAGACCGTCTGCTTCTCTGTCTCGCTCAGTTCACTCACCGGCTTACCGTACATCTGTGTGGCTATCATTCCCACCACCTCGCCGGTGGCTGCGCCTGCGGCACCAGCTAGAGCATTCTTACCCTGTGCCAGAGACAGGGCTGCATTCACTACTGCATGAGCTGCCA